GTTATTCACTTCATATCAAGCAAGTAAGGAAGCTCTAGTCGAGACTGCTCGGCTACGAGATCCCCTGAACCCTTCGAGCAACAGCTATTTCAATCATTTTTCGCATCTTTCTGCTTACACAAGAATCACATACACACACACACACACACACGCACACAGGCACCTACGCATAAGCACGCAGTGTGCGCTTACTTTGAGAATTTAATTGTTTAATAAATTTTCTTTTTTTTTTCTTTTAGATCGTGACTATAATAATGAAATGCGTGAATTTGCCAAAGCACAAGTCTCTTAAAAAACGCTTTCTACAAATTTAGGGATGAAGGGGGGATATAAGGGTGGGGGGTGAATTACAACAAAAGCCGAAATTCTGTAAAGTACATATGAATCTACATTTAAAATTTGGAGACTCTAGCTTTTAAGATGTAGGAGATATAAATTTATAACTGATTTTCGAAAAGGTTTTTTATCGATAAAAAGTAACGGGATGAGTTATCGATTTTTAGTGACAAATTCGATATCCGCGCTATATATAGGACATTTTAAACAACATTTGAAGTCTCTAGCTCTTATATTTTCGGAAATCGACGCGTTCAAGCATACGGACAGACGGACAGGGCCAAATCGACTCAGCTGATCGCCCTGATCAAGAATATACAATATATACCCTGTGGGCTCTGCCACGCCTCTTTCTGCCTGTTACATACATTTCAACAAAACCATTATACCCTGATTTCCTATTTTCAATGGGTTCATGGTATAATAATAGTAATAATAATTGATGAGTCAGCCTGTAGTTATAAGTCTTTTGTCTTTGAATATTTATTTATTTATTCTATGATATTTTATAATATTTCAAGTCTATTTGATCTCGCAGCATTTCAAAAGGTTTTATCTCCTCAGCTTTCGCCTTCTCTGTCTATCCCACAGCATTTCTCTCCGCCTGTCTGCCTAAGAAAAGCAAGGGATCAAGAATAATTACAGATCATTTGAGTTGTCCATATGTATAAAGCAGTACTAACTTCTTTGTATTTATATTTATGAACAACGAAGTTAGAATGCTTGCAGCCTCAGAGAGTGTTCCCATTGGTCCCTTAAAGCACCTTTGAGAGCGCCTTAGACTGTGAGTGAAAGTGGCCCTATATATAGGGCAGCAGCTGCAGCATTTCTTCAGTCGCCCAGGCCTAGTGGGGGGTCCAGGGGGGTCAGTCGTTCAGCGCAGTGAAATGAAATTGAAATACTTAGCGGAAATACTTAGAGGAAACACATAAAAGAAATACTTAGAGGAACTACTATAGGAAATACTTGGAGTAAATACTTGGAGGAAATACTTGGAGTAAATAGTTAGAGGGAATACTTAGAGGAAAGACTTCCAGTAAACATTTAAAGAGAAGAGTTTGAGGATATACTTTGAGGAAATACTTAAAGGGAAGACTTGGAGGAAGGATTTGGAGGAAAGACTTAGAAAAACTAGGAAATACTGAGAAGAAACACTGATTTACTACTACAACAACAATTACTACTACTATTACCACTAATAACCTCTACTATCATCAAACAAACTAAACCAATATGCCTCTTTCGCTTCGTAAAGAAGACTTAAGATTATAAGTTTATTCCTATTAATTCCTATAAGTTTATTCCTTTTCATTACTGCCAATAAAAAGCAAATCATTCAATACGAACTAACGAAACCCAAATCAAGTAAATTTATGGGAAAATGACAAATGCGAATCAAGTCTGCTTCGTCAACTGAGCTGAAGCAAGCCCTCTCAATTGGCCAATTAATGAAGCCGGTCGCACAGAGGGCAGACAATGGAAATTTACGTGACGGCTAATGTCGTGACCCTTTTAGGCCGACTCTTAAGTTCAAGCGCATCGACGACGCGAACGGAGGCGAGACTAATCACATTTGGCAGGCGTACAATTATGGCAAGTGTAGGTGCCGTTCGGCCAGAGACAAATGTGATCCTTACAGGGAGAGGGTAAGAGAAATGCAGAGAGGTAGAGAGAGACATTCATGTCTCATATGCTTTATACTTTAATTAATTTGTAATCCTTGACATTGAAGCCGAGGCAAATGCAATTAGAGGCAGCTGCTAAATGTTTGTTGCTCTGCCCAAAGGATTACAAGGATATCCAGTTGTTTCCTTGCATTTATTGAAACGTGAACTCAGATGACAGACACACACACACACACACACACACACACTGAGTGTGAGGGAGAAGGACACATGTGCCACGCCTATCAAATTCTAATTGAACATTTGAAATGTCATCATCAAACGTTTGACAAACTCTGGCAGAGGACGAACTTTGAGCTCAAGTGAATATCTAATCGAGTGCACGTCGAAGACTTTGAATTGTTCCGAAACTACACTTAACTGTAAATGCCGAGTGCTGGGCCATTGAATAGGGGTTATATGCGAAGTTGGGCTTAAATGCTGAATGCTGAAATAGAGAAGTAATTTTATTTTGAAGATGCAAATTAAGATGGATATAGTACCACAAAGTTAAAATGAGAACCAATAACATAAAAAATAAAATTAGATTAAAAACAAAAATTTACTGATTAAATAAAAGTTTATGTATAAGCATTTTTAATGTATTTTTTTATTTTTTTGCATACTGTCTTTTTTTTCAATTTTTCGCTGTCTTTCTTTTTTTTTTTTTTTAGCTAAAATCTGAAATATGTTCAAATATTATTTTTAAAATCTAAACAAATTTAAATATAAATATGAATAAATATAGTAAAACATTTATCAATTTTTACCTCAGCAGAAAAATGCATACTAAAAGAAAAAGAAAATACTTCTATTGTACTGTATGCAAGAAAGTCACAAAAGTTTTGGCGTATATACTATACCACTATATTTCATCGTTTCAAATTTCACTCGCCCGCTCTTCAATTTCCATGCAGTTACTGAAATACCGGGAAATGCATTTTCCAATTTACAGAGAATATCTAGACACTTTATGATTCGAGGCATGTGTTACCAATTTGCAATCATACAAAACCTATATGCTCGTCTCATTTCGAGAATGAGTATAACAACTATCTTAAAGAGCTGCTAAAATACAAAATAGTGTAAAAAATATTGCATATAGCAATACTCTAGCTTCATCAGCTCATACTTTGCTTAAATTCAGGACCTATTCCAGAACTCTTAACTGCTTAGCTTATTCGCGGAAATTTACTCCTTAATACCTTGAGAATTTAGAGACGTCTGCTTTACAGTAATATCATCTCAGTTAGCTTAATGGATGCTTCAAATCTCTAGAGCCTTTTATAACCAAATTCGCATTGTTCGTAACCAAATTCTTAGAAATTTATTTTGTATGCTATAGCCTAATCCATCCCCTCCCACTTTCCGTCTCTTAGGTATCGCTATCTCTCTCTCTCTCTCCATCTGTGGGCTTGCTTTCTGTTGGCTAATATAATTTCCGCTCCACTGACTTCTATTATATGTCCATATAACTTATTTATAGCGCTTCGCAATGTCCAAAAACTAAAAGCTCTGAACAATATTTATAATTCGGCCACGCCCACAACGTTAACGCAGGCGGCGCTGCTGTTGTCATTTGCTTTGATTTGTGTTTTTCAAATGAGCAACAAAAAGCAATTTGTCTGCCACAGAAGCAAATGTTGCTGCCGCAACTGCCATCCATCCGCCCGTCCGTCCGCTCGTCCATCCGTCCGTCCGTTTGTTCTCCCGTTCGCCCGTTCGCTTCTCATCCCGCCTGAGCACTTTGCTCACAAATTGTGTTAATTTGCATATTCGAAACTTTTGCCTAATTGAACATAATGCCACTTAATTAAACTTAAGCAACTTTTGCCAAAAGCAGGTGGCCGAGACAGGGGGGCGGTGGGCGTGTCACGTGTAGGTGCTTGGTCTGCGGCCCAAATATCTTGGCAAACTACGCGACGCATGTAAAACTGAGACCCAAAACATTTATGGCCCACTTCAATTGTGGCTGCTCTTGTTGCTGCCATTTTGTGGTTGCAATTAGTTCAGATTATGACGAGGCTAATGTGAGCCCACCCACACACCCACACACCCACACGCAAGCACACACATGTATAAGTAAATACATATATATTCAAGCTCATAAAACAGTTTTGTGCCTGAATTATTTCAATGAATCTCAGGCTCAAATGCTGCAAATGTTTATTGCCATTAAAACAATTTCAATTAAATATAATCAATTTACTTCACATTTAATTAAGACTATAGAGTTTTGAATGAGTCTCAGCGGCGCTTTGACAGTCGGGCATTTGTAGCTGAGCTAGAAGAAGAATTAGAAAAGCAGCGAAAGTCAATATGCTGGAAGAAGGAACTAAATATGAATTTAACTAGTTCGAGGCGGAACTAAAACTTTGTAAGAATCTTCAAAGGGTTCGAGTTTTTTCCGGGAATTTTCCAGGTGAGCAGTCTAGAGCACTCTAAGTTCCTCAAGATTGTATTTATAAAACTTAAAATATAATAATAATAATCTGGATAAGAATAATACTAATTTTAATAAAAAGTAAGATGTAAGAGATATATTTTAAAAACTTATTTTCGATATAGTTTTTAATCGATAACAACAGAACGGTATTGGTTATCGACTTGTGGAGAATAGCTCGATATGCGTATGATATACACGGACCTAGGAAAATCTATTTCTACTCTTTAGCTCTTATATCTTCTGAGATCGACGCGTTCGAACAGACAAACAGACGGACAGGACTATATCGCTCGTCGCCCTGATCAATAATATATATACTTTATTGGGGGCTGGCTGTTACATACTTTTAACCATTACACCCGGATTTCCCATTTTCAGATTCAGGGCATAAAAGACAATCTTGATTTGGTATATTCAGAGTTTGGGTCGGTATTAAATACTAATTGTAGCATTTAAAATTTCTCATTTATTTCATCATAAAGCAAGCTAAAAATTTTTGTATTTCAAATTGATTCATTTTGATTTCTTTCATTTCTCATTTACATTTTGTATAAATTCAAAATTTTGGAATTGCTATTGCTATCAAATTTTGTTTACAATCAAAATGACGCTTATGGCCGTTGTCTTTCCACTCTATTTGTATTGCGGAGCTTGCATATTTATTTATATGTTGGATTCCGTTTTCTGGGATGAGTTTCAATAGATGGGAGATTTGAAATAGATTAAATCTGATTTTTTTCTCTGGGACTATCTTCAATAGTCTTCGACGATGAGGGCTGTGCCGGCGAGAAGAACTTGCTCCGCCGTGGCGCCAACGGCATCCAGTTGCAAATGGCAGATCAGCTTGTCCCGGCTGGCTCTGCTGTACAGCGGCAGGGTAATGCGCTCGTCGGTGTGCTGCCTGTTGCTGGCAAAGCGATCGATTTTCTTGAACTTATCCTCAGTGACGTTCGCTTCGTTGTTTGTGATTTTGTATGTGATGTAAAATGGATTCGACTCGCTGCTGTTGAGTAGCTGCGTGTTACCATCAAGCTAATGGAGTTGGAAATAAATATAGTGTATTTGATATCGCTGAAGAAATGCAACAGTTATATATTTAGACAACAACCATATGTGTCTTAGTCTGTACATGAACCCATCTATGACTACGATCTACGATACAGTGCAACACTTAACGAAAGTGCTCATTTAACGAACTTGTGCCAGAGTGCCAATTTTAACATAATAGAATACTGCTCCACACTGTTAATAGTCATATGAATATTTTAACAGGAGGAGCAAATATGTAATAGAGCTACTTTTATTCGAAATTCGAATAGGTGCAAAGTATAGTAAATCAATAATTCTGAATATGTATATAAAATAAGTTCAATTTCAACAATATTTTATTGTTTTCAAACAGTGAAATTTCTGCTATTTATTTATTTTTCTTAGAGGTGATACCCATAAAATACTTGCATTAGATGACAGACAACAGCAGTGCTGTGCAGCCCTGGTTCCAAGTTAACAGAGCGCCGGAATGTCAATCAAATAAACAAAAAGAAGCGGCGTGAAAAAAGCGAAAAACTGCAGAGAAATCAAATTCTGCAGCAATCGCAAACTAAATGTTGTAAATATAAATTAAATTTAATTCTAATCAAGTGGTAAACAAACAAAAAACGTCAAGCTGGAGACTCACTTTATGGCCAAGATGGGCAAGGTAAGCAAAGCGAAAAAAAAAAAAAACAAAAAAGGAAAGAAAAAGACAAAAGAGTTCAGCAGCCAAGCAATGAAAAGAGATAGCGTTGATTGACAGACAGACAGACAGGCAGGCAGGCGGTTGAGACGGCGACGCGGACAGACAACAGCACGCACCAGGCAAACTAAATGTATATGTCTGCATGAAAAAAGGCAACAGAGAAAAACTCACCTTAAGCGGCGCCAGCTTAAGCAAAAGCAGATCCCCAGCTCCTCCTGCCCTATCGCTGGTCGTCGCACACTGCAATTGGAGTCGCTGCGTGGATACACTGCATTTGCGCGCCTGCTGCAACTTTAAGCAGGCCAACAGATTCTCGCAGTTGAAGACCTGCTTCAGATTCAGCTCCTGGCCGAATTCCACCTGCAGCGACTCTTTAAAGCGCTGCTCCGCTGCCTCCGCACGCACCATCAGACCGCGCAGGTAGTCAACGGCGCTGCTACTGCTCGGACCGGGCCACAGCTTCTGCCAGCTGTGGGGCACCTGCGTGAAGGAGGAGATTGAGGAAAAGGAGGAATATTAAAGTTATAGCAGTTGATTGTATACGAATAGGAAAGAGATTTTGGCTTTAGTATGCTTAAAATGTCTACTATAGCTATAGATAATGTCTACATATAGATAATGTCTACAACATTATAGCTAGATCAAGATATGAGTAGAGAATATCAGATGTGAGTTGAAGTCTTCTATAATACCCCATAACTGTATCCAGATAAGAGTAGATTAACAATACTATACTATATTTAATCAGATAACTATGTGAAGTTTTCTTAAAATTATTTTTATATCATAAATGGACTGGGTACTAAAAAAAAGGACTTACAAGAAAGCAAACCAAAATTTGTTCATAGTATTCCATATAAAGTATATAATGATGCTGCATAGTTCATTAAATACTTGAACTTGAATGTGTTATAGAATTATGGTGTGTCACCTACGCAAATCTATAAGGACATTTATACATATATAACAAAATTTGGATCCAATCCAATATTTTTAAAATTATGAAAAACGTATTTTAATTTTTGTAAAAACTAGTTTTTGTACAAAGTACAAAATGTTCTATCTTCTATCTCATGCCTCTTAACAATATTTCCATTGAAGCCCTCCATATAGTATTTATAATATTTCTTCCATACATACATATATGTATATAAGAGTACAGACCACAGTTAAAAGTCTGTACGCAAACTGAAATATAGTCTTAATTGTTTCTGCAAGAAAGTGTTCACTGTACTTTACCATTTTCTAAGTTTATTTGTAATCGAATTAATGTACTTTAATTTTGAATTTATTTATGCAAGCAGGATAGCTTAAATTTCTAACTAGTGAGGCACCATTATACTGCAGCACTGCCTCGACATTCTATCAGCCCTTCCCATTTTTCCCACTCACCTGCTGCTCGGCCAGCGCTAGCATTGTGCTGGCATCCACATCCGCTGGCTGCTCCGCTCTGCCCGTCGTCTCCTTTAGCCAATTGTGCAGCTGCGACAGCAGCTGATGCACGGCTCTGTAAAGCTGAGCGCCCAGCTGCAGCTCGGCGAGCACAAACAGCGTCCAGGGCGTGGGCATGGGCGTGGCTGTACCACTAGTGAGTGCTGCCTCCTTTGCCGTCTGGGCTATAGTGCAGCCGTGGGCCAATTTCCTCCACAAGCTGAGCAAAGGTTTGATTTGCTGTTCCAGTCGTTGCCTGGAGTTGGGCGTGGCCAATTCGCTGCCAGCCGCAGATCCGCCAAACTGCAATGCGCGTAGCTCCTTGATGACTAGACGCGCCTGCTCCATTTCGCGCTGCTGCTGCGCCTGACTGGCGAGTCCGTACATGCGCGGCTCATCCACATCGGGCAATCGATCAACGGCCGCATAGTAATCCTGCAGCTGGGCGCTGGTGGGCATGGAGCCAGGCAGGCCCAGTGGCTGCCAGCGATTGCTGAGGACATCCGCACAGCAAAATTGGGATAGATAGCTCCTTAGTATGTCCACATCCCGTTCGTTGTTCATTCGCCCGCCATAGGCCACTGCCTCGCAGAGACGCTGCATCAGCGTCCAATCGCAACGTCCGCTGTTCAGCTGCGCGTCCAGCCAGCCCAGCACGCCGAGAGCTGCCTTGAGGTCTGCCTCGCCAAACTCGTAGTACTTCGACCAGCCCTGGGGTATATACTGACGGCGCTGCTGCAGCACGGCCTGCAGCAGGAAGAGCACCAGGCGCATCTTCAAGCACTTCGCAGGCTGTTTGCTAGCCGACTCAGGCTGGAGGCCGGCGTAGTTCTGCAGCATTCGCTGCACCTGCTGCTTGAGGCCGCGCGGCTGCTCGTATCGCACCTTGAGACACTTGTAAACAGCCGCCTCGCTGAAGCCTTTGGTGGACTCGCAGAGCAGCCATAGGCGAAACTCCTGAGACTTGTGCAGCTCGCTCAGCTCACACTCCATCTGGCCCAGCCACTCGGGCACCAGATGCACATTCTTCACGCACAGCCACTGACCCTGGCCCGCTGCCTGCCGCATGGCCGCCAAGGCGCGCTGCTCGCTGCCTCGTCCTATGGCCAGCTCCACGTACTTCTGTGGTCCCCACTTCTTCAGAGCCACGCCACGCAGCTCTGTGGCTGGATCTAGTTCGGGTTGACTGATCATCAATATGGGACGATCGCAGCTGCTCTGCTCCAGCAGCTGCTGCACGGTTGGCTGTGTGGCCGCCTCTGGGGCCAAACCCAACAATTGGCTACTTGCCAAACGTAGTTGTGTGATCAGTAAATCGGGTCGAAAGATTTGTGCCACTAGGACGCGTTGAAAGTGCGACTTGATATTGGCTGAATAAGGAGAAACAGAAACAGTCGCTTAATGTATGCAGCCTGAGTCTATAGGTCCTAGAAGGAGGAAGTGTCCAGACAGAGTGGAGCCTGCTAAACTGAAATTGTCGATGACAGATATGAATTCTATCTCTGTTATGGAGGACCTGACGTCCTAAGGAGGCAAATGATGTTAATTGTTTAATGAAAAACTAAGAACTGAATGACGGATTGAGGAGCAGTGACTGATATATCCAGACTATGTCTAGAGATCTTAGAATAAAAGTTGTCCAGTTCAGAGGAGAGCTCAACTAAGGTCCTAAGGACATCATACTCCTTCAATAGGTATTTAGCAAGATCATATAACTAACACATTCATATACTAATCAGATAATTTGTTTACTCACGCAGTATATCGTCCGTTTGCTGTTCGATAAAGCCGCGCCACACGTAATCCTTGTCCAGCTGCAGTTGCGCCTTGAGGTCCGGCAGCTGTTGCAGCAGCAGCGCCAGCTTCAATTGTGAGTCGCGGCTCATGCAGTCGGGCAGGCCGCCACTTAGTTGACAGCTGCCATCGGCGCTGCCCATGAAGTTGCTGACAAACAGCTCCCACTCCTTGGCGCCGATGGCGGAACCGAAGGCTTGCCGGCAAACCCACAAGGCCAGTGTTAATTGACTTTCGCGAGGTGTTGCACGCGCCAGATGCAGATAGACGCTGCGGACGAGGCGCTCGAACAGCTGCTGCTGCTGCAGCTGCTGAGCATCCTGAGCACGCAATGCGCCCAGGAAGAGCTCAATGTAGACTAGGGCCGACAGCTCGTAGCCCTGCGTCAGGCCAGCGTAGAAGTTGGCCGCCTGCTCGCAGAGCTCACGCAGTGCACCAAATTGTGAGAGCAGCGTTTGCTTGACCTGTCCGCTCTGCTCCAGCGCCGCATCGATTTCGGCGCTGCTGCGCTTCACCTCGTTCAGGCTGGCCAGGAGCGGCTCGTTGCGCAGAATGTCGCCCTCGGCCTTGGAGAGCTGCTCGAGCAGCTTGTCCTGGAGCGCCATGCGCTGCTTCAGTAGCTCGCCCTCTCGCTGCAGTAGCTCGATGCGCTGCTGCTCCAGTGCCGGATTCTTCAGCACAATCGCCTTGGACATTAGCTGATCGGCCAGCCCAGTGGCTGTCACCGTGAAGCGCAGCAGATTCACTTGACCTCGCTGCTCCGGCGGCAGCAGCTGCAGGCGATGAGACTTGCTGATCAACACCAATTGGAAGTCCTCATGGAGATCCACCAGCTTATTGCCCACTGCCAATTGGCGCTTGTTGAAGCGCACATAGATGTGCAGCTGCAGCAGCTCCAACAGCGGCGGGCGCAGCTGCTCGCAGTCCAGCACCAGCAGCGTTTTGCCAAAGCGCACAGCTAGCTCCAGTTGGTAGCATAGTCGCTCGTTGCCTTGGCTTGTCAGCTCGCTCGCTCGTCCCGTTGCACGCAGATGCGCGCTGAGCCATTGGCCCGCCGTCTGGGTGGGATCCAGCAGCAGCGGCACTGGGCAACTGCCAAAGGGTAGCGCCAGCATCTCACGCAGCAACGCAGCGCTCTCAATGATCTGCGCGTCGCGCGCTAAGCCTTGACTTTCCCAAATGATTTGCTGCTGCTCTGTGACGAGAGTTCGGCGTAGCTCAAAGCCATCAGAGCCGGAGAGCTGGAATTCCTTGCTCAGACGTTTAATTAGGGCGCTGTAAAAGGGGAGCAAGGGAATTTAAGTAGTTAAATCTGACATCTTCCATTAGTCCTATTCAACGAATATTAGCTCTAATATCAGACTTCAGCTTACCCGCGTTGCTCGACTCCCCAGCCGGCATAGTAATTGATGGCCAATGCCAGCAGCAACGTCTTGCTGTCGAGTGTCTTGTGAGCGCGCTTCAGTTCGGCCAGCTGCTCGCTCCAGGTGGCATACTCGGCGCTCAGCTTGCCCACCAACAGCTCCGCTGCCTGCAGCGTGGCGCCCGCCTCTTGCAGCTTCAGCTCCAGCACGGCCGCCTCCTGCGTGTAGGTTTGCAACTTCGCAGACAGCTTCTGCACGCGCTTGTCCACATCGTCCAGGCCGCTGGCCAGCTGCTGCATCTCATCCTCGGCGGCATTCAGATTGCGCTGCAGCTCATTTTGCTCGCGCTCTAGTGGCTTGATGCTCTGAATGACGCGTGAGTAACGCACGCTAGCCTGGACCCAGGCAGCGAGTGGTGCGGCAGCTGCAGAGGCACGCTTCGCATTCTTCGACTCGTAGGAGTCACCTTTTGCCTGCAGCAGGCGCTCCACGGCCTGGCAGTTCTCGGGGCTAATGTGTGCCGGGTCCAGGGAGCGTATGTCCTCCTTGACGCCGCGCTTGGCCAGAAACGTTTTCATGCTGTTCCACGAGGTGTCGCGTATGCCCATTAGCCGCAGCACACCTTCCAGTATGTCCCGCACGGCTTCGGGTGGAGCGCGGAGCGAGCGTATTTCGGACAACGCCTCGGATTTGATTTGACCCACCGCATTGCTGGCCTCCGCCAAGATCGGCTCCACCTCTGCCAACTCCTGCTGAATCTCGCGCTGTCGCAGCTTCAGCTGCTCGCTGCTCTGCTGCGTCTTCTGCTTCAGCTCCAGCATATTCGACTTCTGCTCGTTCGCATTGTGCATCGTCGCCGAGATCATTTGCAGTGCATCATTGGCCAGCTTTCGCTTCTCGCCCAGCGCCTGCTCCTGCTCCGTCGCATTGGCCTTCAGTGTGCCGACCAGAGCATGCGCCGCAGCCAGCTTATCCACACCCAGCTGCAGCTTGCCCATGCGCCGATCAATCTCAGCAGCTGCATTGCTGTACATGTAGAAGTAGCTGCTGATGAGTTGATAGTAGCGATGCGCCGGCTGCTCTGGCGGCAGCTCTTCGGCCACATCGCCGAAGTGACTGCAGACGGGCACCTTGCCACGCCCCGCGGCCGCAGACGTCGCCTCGTTGAGCAACTCAATGTACTGCTTGGGCAGCATGGCCAGCGTATCACGTGACTCCGCACGCACGTAGAGCATATCCATTTGACGAATCAAGGCTGGGCAGCTGCTGAAGTACTCCGCCAGCTGTGGACTGCTCGGCTCGAGCACCAGCACCAAGTGCAAATGCTCTCGTGCACCTGCATTGCATATGAGATATGTAACAAGTATGATTACTCCAGCTCTCTCACTCCATCCACACACTCACGCTTCATAAAGAATGCACCCAGCGACTCCTGATAGCCCTCCAACTGTGCCGCCTGCTTCAGCGTGCTGGCCACCGTTTCCAGATCGTCGCCAAACAGCTCCAGTATTTCACTACCCTCCAAGAGGGCCTCACTAGGCTTTAAAATATCGGGCACATAGCTCAGCCAGCAATGATCGATGAGCAGATAGCTCATCTGCTGCTCCAGCGCTGCCGTCTGCATTGCCAGCTTCAAATCGTTGTAGAAATCCGGTAGAGCATAGCTGGCGTTGCCCTGTAAGGTCAAGACCTTGGCCTGTTGCAGCGTGGCAGCTGCATAGATGGCATCCAGGTGTCGATCACCTGCTTCAGCCAGGATCAGCAAGTGAGCATCGTTGCGGGAGAGGATTCGTGCTACTTTGGCTGTGTGCTGCAGCAGCTCCTCCGTGATGGGTGCCGAAATGCTATAGCTTTCGGTATCTAGAGATGAGAATTCAATGGGTTTTTAAATAGCAAATATCCAAGGTTAACATAGATTTAACAGAGTCCTAGAGGATGAGGCAGCTTTAGAGTAAGCTGAGAGTAACATTGAATTATCATATTAAATTCTATAATTCCCATAGCATTGTTTAATTAACAGCATAACTTTAAGATTCATCTGTACATTAACAAACTATTTTCTTTTACCTATTAGAAGTTGACTTCTACTTTTACTTCATACTATTCTTATTAATTTCCAACAAATCAAAAGTTTTACTCCTGTGTTTCGAAACTGTTTCTGTCATTTTCAACCCATTTTCTGTGTACTTCCAGTGGATGACCCCCGAAGAGGAGGCACGCCAAAAGTTCATCATGCGGGAACGAGATCGGGAGCGCAAACGCATCAAACGCATGAATCCCGAATATCGACAAATGGAACGGGAGCGAGATCGATTTCGCAAACAGACGCCAAGGCCCAGTGTAGTTATCCCGATTCATATTGTATTATTTTTGTCTATTATTCACTATTCCTTTTTTTTCCTTCAAACCTCTCTGAACTACTCATATCTTGAAACAGCAAAGGGCTTGGACTTTTAAATATCTGCGCAGTGGAATGTCTACTTAAATAGAATATAAATCATATATAGGGAAACTAAATAAGTAATGGTTAGCTTAGGCGTACCAGAAATTAAATGTAGAATTGTAGATTGTATCAGAATAGAATTACTATGTATGTCCAATATTATTTTAAAAACCTTTATGATAGGCCTAGTACTTAAAGCCCATATACTATATACTACTTACTGCATATTGTAATTTGCCTTTGCACCTCCTCCAGCCACTCATCGTGAGCGAGTCCTTGCAGTTGTCCCTTAGACTTTGGCGATTTGGGCACGTAGTAGATTTTCTAGAAATATGAAGATTTAAAGCATTTGACAGAGAAATGGTAAAAAGATTCTAAATAAGATTTACACCCACCTCCTTGCCTAGATATTTGCGCATAGTTTGCTTCAGAATAGACTCAAACTGCTGCACATGCTCCTCGCTGGCCAAACGATCTCTGAACAAGCCCAACAGCTCACAATGCAAAGCCTGCAAAAGGACAGAGAAATGGCACAAGTGAGGGAATTCAATTAGCAGCAAACGCAGTCACTTACCTCATTGAAGTCTGTGGACGGATAGTAAACGAGGGCCGCCAAGAGCTTCATAATGCACTTGGGGCTAAACTGATAATGCAACTGCTGCTGCTGCTGCTGTTGCTGCTGCTGCTGCTGTTGCTGCTGCTGCTGTTGCTGCTGCTGCTGTTGCTGTTGCTGTGGACCAGTGGACGCAGTAAAAACAGCCTGGAGCTGCAAATAGAGAAATCCAGCTAAGCAAATCAGGCTCAAAGCAAATGCAGCAGGCAGGCGACCGACTTTACCTTTTCAAAGCACTCCATTAGACACTCGCTGACGTGCTGCAAATTGATGGGACTGCCAGGCGGTGGTTTGAAGTGCGTATGCAGCAACGGCTCGAGGCGGCACTGCACGATGGCCAGCATATCGGCAGCACTCGGCCGGGCCACGCGCACGTACTGATTGATGGCCAGGTAGCGGGGTGAAATTTTTGACAAATTGCCACTAATGGACGCACAAATTTGCAGCCCACTGACGCTGATCCATTCCAGATTTTCCGCATAGAAGCCGCCGCGCTGCACCAGTTGCAGCAGCAGCTCGACTATCTCGCAGGCGCCCCAGGCATCCAGCTGGCACAAGTCCAGGTTCTTCATGAACAGCACCAGCCTCGACTGCTTCGGCTTATATTCCCGCCCACGCACGCCGCTCACCGTGACGCAGTGCGTGCGCAGCGTGTGCAGCACGTAGCCAGCGGTCAGCTGTGTGGAGCAATTGATGCTGGCCAGCTGGTAGCCCGAGCACTCCAGCAGCGCCTGCTCCAGCAGCAGCGTCTTGCCCGCTCCACTGGGACCGACCAATATGAAAGGCGTCGCACGTCCAGCCGGCAGCTCCAGCAGCGAATTAATAATACTCAGATATGATTTAACATAAGCTGTCACAATGAGCTCACTGCCATGCTCGGGCGTCTCTATGACGCCCACCACATGCTGCTCCAGTGCTTTGCGCTGCGGGTCGTAGTAGCTCAGCTCGGCATGACTCGGCTGTGCCACATAGAGATTCGCGCGCTGCAGCACCAGCTGTGCGAACTCTCGCTGCCGCTCGCTGGGAACATAGCCGAGCATTGTGCGTAATGTGGCTGCGCCATACTCCTCGATCGTCTGGCTATTGTGCAGCTGCAGCAGCAGGGAGCGCAGCAAACTGGACCGACTTATGCCAGGCACTTGACTAAATAGGCAGTAGATAAGAATTCAAAGTGTTTTTTTAGGTTTAATTAAACAATTAGAAAGATTTTAAAGAAGAAGAAGCAGCTTATAGTTCCCATTGTCAAGGAACTATTGCATACCTTACTTTAAATTAATTAGATATATTGTGCTAGTTTACTTACCCCAACAATTGCTCATTTTGAAGCCAGTCGTAAGCTATTCTGAAATTTTCATCTATGTAGCTTTGCAGTAGATCGCCATATGGCTCCTTCTCCAGCTCATGCTTGAGTACTTCCGTCAGGGGATAATAGTCGTAGCTATTTAGAGTGATATTCAGTTGGCAACAAATGTGATACACTCGGATTATGTATTCCCACCAAAATCACTTACCTCATGTTGACAATGCCCATGCGTGATATGGTTGCCGGGGAGGCGTGACGCACATCGTCCGTCTCGAATATAAAGTTGACATTGTTGCCGAACTGTATGCGCCAGCCAGAGGGCAGTGTTAGGAGTCTGCGAAACGTTTCAAGATATGATTAGTTTCAAATTACTGATTACTAAAGCTAAAGCACACAAAAAACACTAACAGAAACAGTTTTCATGTATCCCGCTTTTGACATGTATATGTCTAATGGCTGTAAAAAGAAATGACAGCAACATTTTACAACACTTGCCAAAATTTCCCCATATACATTTGTGACCGTTGTCCTGTTAAGCTTCTGCAGAGTTTAAGCATTGATAAATTTCTGTCTTCTGACTGTTAATAGAAATGTTAAGTTCTCTTCTCAAGAATTCTCGCTCGCAAGCAGAGATGAACGAGCGTTAATTTAATTTTCAAAAAAAAACTTCTATAATTTGAAATTATGCATTTTATTTTATCTTGTATGAAATTTATCCACTGATTAGCATTAGACATATACATGCTCAGCTGCACGAAATTCTATACCTAAAATAAAATTCTGTTCTGTATTGAACTGTTTCCCATTGAGCTGCTTTTAGTTTAGTTCTGGTATTTGATACTATTCTTCCATCGCTTCCCATCTCTATATTGCAGCTGATGACACCCGAGGAGGAGGCGCGCCACAAGTTCATCATGCGCGAGCGAGATCGAGAGCGAAAGCGCATCAAGCGCCTGAATCCCGAATATCGGCGTATGGAGCGCGAGCGCGATAGATTTCGCAAGAAGGCACGACGTGCTAACGTAGCATTTTTCCAATATATATTTCTAAATTATATATAAGATACATATACACATACACAAGCACACTCACGAATACATACACCCACACACACACACACATACACTCAGAGACAGACGTCGACTGCAGAGTTAGCTTGAAGTAGTTGGGGCTGGGATTTCCTTTAGTTATAGATAGATATATCATTAGACAATAGACGACTGCTCGACCTTCAATACAGACTACAATCGACCCCAATCGCTTGAGCCAGCCGCATTGTGCTTTAATAAGTTTTCCCCGTCTCCATTTGACTTTCAGTTGACGCCCGAGGAGGAGCTGCGCCAGAAAATGATACAGCGCGAAAGAGATCGTGAACGGAAGCGCATCAAACGCATGAATCCCGAGTATCGCCGGCTGGAGCAGGAGCGCGATCGTGATAGAAAGAAGGCGCGACGCGCCAATGAGGCGTTCCGGCAGCTGGAGAAGCTACGTGATAAGATACGCAAGGAGCGCAAGAAGGGTCTCCTGGTGACTGATCCCACACAACTGCCGCCCGAGTTTGCGGCCATTATACCGCCAGTGCCTGTTGAACCTGAGGTGATCATATCGACGCCTCAGACACAGCAACAACAACAACAACAGCAGCAGCAACAGCAGCAGCATCAGCAGCAACAACAACAGCAGCAACAGCAGCAGCAGCCATCCACACACCACCAACAGCAGCAGCAGCAACAGCAGCATCAGCTGGCAGCAGCTGCTGCAGCGGCGGCGCACCAGCAGCAGCAGCAGCGACGCCGCAACATGTCCCATGTGCCAAGCGCGACGTCTGGCCTGACGCAGTTGTCGGCGCCAGCTGGCCATGCCACGCCCACGCATTTGCAGCAGCTGAACAAGCTGCAGCAGCTGTATCCGCCGCCCAGCTTTGGGCATCCCGCCCTGCCCATTCCCGGCGTAACGCTGATGCCCCAGCTCTGCCATCCCATATTGCACCAGAATCTGGGCGCCACACTGTACCCAGCGCCACCGAATGGCATCAAGCAGGAGTACGGCTGCCAGGATGTGAGTAGCTTAAGTGCTGCTGCCGCCGCAGCCGCTGCGACGAGCTCTGCCTCGGCAGTGGCTGCCGCCCAGGCGGCGGCGCTTGCCTCGTTGCGCGGCGGCCCTCAGCAGCAGTCGGACGATCCTGACATGGCGCTGAATCTGGAGCCAGAGATTATATTGCAAACGCCACCCGATGTCAATCCCGCGCAGCAGCAGCAGCAGCATCACTTCAGTGCACACCAGCAACAGCAGCAGCAGCAACACCATCTGCAGCAGCAACAGCAGCAGCACTGCAACATGTTTCAGCACATGGCGCCACAGGCGCATATGCAGCATATGCGAGCAGCGCCGTTGCCGCCTCCGCCCACAGTGGCGCTGCCCCCGCCGCCGCCGGCGACGTCAACGGCGTCGCATCAACAACAGCCACAGCCACAGCCACCACCGCCGCCGCCCCCGCAGCAACAGCAACAGTTGCAGCAGCATGCGCAATAATATGAGATTAACGCACTCGCCTTTAGTTCTTAAGCTCAACTAGCCACATACGCATTTCACAGTTCAAGTTCATGTTTATTTTGTTAAGAGAGAGTGAGAGAGACAGGGACATCGGCTGAGTGTGGGAGAGCGGGAGAGTATACTCATAAGTTGGAACTAGTTTTCTATTTAGCTTTTAGTTATATTATCTCTTAAGTCGCATTTGAATTTGCTCCCAAAACCTATTGGAGATATCTCGTATATATTATTTTACATAGTTCATAGGACACCTGAAGTGAACTAGTTTTAGATGAACTGAACTGAGTTAGTTTTGATTATGTTTTGGGTTATAATTTTATCGAATTTAATTTGCTAAGACAGTTTTAAGTAAACCCAATTTAAAAAACTAATGCAATAGGACTAGTTCAATTGGTTCATAATCTCGTCTGTTATATGTATTAATCTTCGTATATGCTTCGAATTTAGGTTTTATTTAACAAATTTTAAGTATTAAATAAGAGGTTGAAATCAGAACTAGTTCCAAGTAATGTATGCCTTATTCAGATATCTACATCCAATTTGTGAGAACTCACATGCTGTAAATAATTTACAGTTGGCAGCTAAAGAACCAGTTCAATTAAACCCTAGACCCTAGACTAGTTCCCAAACCACAGCACTCTCCCGCTCGCACCCTCATGCCAGTTCAGTGTCAGAATGAAAAGAGACTCTTTGACGTCATTTGTAAAATGCCGTTACGTTGTGTATTACGTTTAGTACGTTACGTTACGTTATTGTTTTTAGTGGGCTTCCCTCATTTTATGTCATAGTTTTGAGCATTTCTATGTTTTAAGTCGCTTTTGTTTTTCTCGGTAGCTAAGTGATAGGGGATGCAATTGCCCATCCGTACAATACAATACATGCAACATTAAGATACGATACTATATATATATATACATATATACAAATGATAATTGATATGTACGTTTAACAAATTGTGTATCCCATACGATATATACTATAGTATATATACATATATTATATTATATATATGGCAAGCCGCAAATAATTAATACGAATTTATGCGCATGTACGAGCAAAATATATTAGCAAAAGCTGTTGCTAAAAAATGATAAAGAAATGCTATTGATTTGATGTATTTGAGAAGTGGGTCTATGGGGGAGAATTTACAAAATTTGATAAGCTTGACAGTCAGATTTAATTTATAAGCAAGTAAGATCCTAATAATTCCTGATGCAGTTTTTTTTTTATTTATTTATTTTTTTTTTATTGAAGATGAAGGTTGTTGGAGCAATAACAATTTTAATTAGCTAGACTTTAGTGGAAATAAGGAATTTTAATTTGCGTGAGATTAAAAAATTTAATTAAATTTGTACTAAATTGTGGCAGTGAAACTTAGATCAAGAAGAGAGTAACATTTTAAGCAGAATATTTGACTAAATCAAATCCTTTGGATTGAGAACAAAGAAGGTGAAATTTCAAAAAGAATATTTGGCTAAGCCAAATCATTAGGAAGATCCAGAGTAATCTGAGTAAGACTTACCGTAGAATTTATGGCTCAGCCATAGCTCCCAAATCGAAGCTATATGTTTTATATGTGTTTCCATGCAATACTCACTTATTATCGTCCAGCACCGAGTTCAGAGCCTCTATCCACTCGGGGTCAATGCTGCCGTCGCAGACGATCCACGAGTGGACATGCGACGGCTCCTGATTGACCAGCACCGCTGTGTGGGTGAGCACGCCGTCTAGCCACTGGCGAGTGTCTGGGTCGAGGCGACCCAGCAGCTGCACGCGATTCATCGACTTGGGGCTGATGGTGTGGACGCGCAGCTGGGTGCCTGTTGTGGCGGTCAGGGCCTGTCGGAGCAGTGATAGAATGCTCGATTTGCCGCAGCCAGGTGGGCCGACGAGCACCACGCCCATGCGCTTCTGCAGCTGTTCGTGCAGTTGCAATGCCTTCTCGATTTGCTTGTCGTTGGCGCGCAGGGCCAGTGGGCCGAAGGCGGCGGCCAGTGCCTGATGCAGCGGTGTCAACGGCATCACCGAGGCGCCAATTTCGGGAAACACATTCAACAGCAACATTTCGAAGCGTTCAACGTCCTGTTGCGCCAGCTTGGACATGGTTGATGAGCGCAGACAATGGACAACAATGCGCATTTCATCATTACCAATCGCCGCAGGGCTGTGAATGGCATTGGAATGCTCATTAAGTGGGCCCGCTGCTGGCATTCCCGCTAATTGCGCGCGCAGTCCCTCGCCGCAAACGAGCAGCACGGTTTTCAGTTCGCGCAGTCCCCAGTCGTAGTGCCGCTGGGCTGACAGCATTTTACCGCACAGATCGAAGAGCTCCACAATTCGCGCCGCAATATCCGCAGCGGCCGCAAAGCCCTCCACGAATAGCATAACGCGTGCAATTTCGCCCGGCTCCGGCTGTTGCATAACAATCGGCCGAAATAACGCCTGAATATTACCGGGCAGCTTTTGTCTGCCACCGTACTCCCCGCCCGCCGGATTCAAGGTCACGAAAATACCGCAGTGATGGTTGAGCTGCACCTGTTAGCGATTGAACAATAATGGAACTTGGAGCAATATCAATCACATAAATACAAGATTACAATATAAATATGCCAGTCAATCAACCAAATAAATATAATATAAATAATATATATTTGATAATAATAATGATAATAGTATAAATATCCAAATAGACCATTAGCTAATCACATCATCGTTCTGTCTGTCCATCAATCAATATCAATATCAGTTACGTTATTGCCCATCAATCAATCAGATATTCGTTACTCACAACTTCAATCCGAACTTTATTTTATGAATATCATTACCTATCAATCACAGCAGTTTTTGTCAATCCATAAATAAATTTACTGCCCATCAATCAGTCAATATTTTTTATGCAAGTCTACATAACATTCTATTGGTCGACTGTTCTTTAGTTCGTCAATCCTTCAATTCTTTTGTGATCAAACCTACTCTTCATATATCAATCAATTTAGACATCAATCAATCATATGCTGCTACATAGATCCATCATATATCCCTTAACCCAATTTGTATACATATTTTTTGCTTAATCTATATCTATATATCATACTTTCCGACTATCCTTTATGCTTTAGTTGCTCGCCTTTCAATCATTTGTGATCAATCTTTTTTCAATCATTATCAATACGAGTATATCCCCTCCTTTACCTTGACATATCATATATTTATCTTTCGAGCTCCAGCACAACAAGATTTCAATCATCCCACAATATACTCATCCGTACATCCACTTTTTTTAAGTTTCTCTATTCTATTTCCATTCATCTATTCCTTTCATAATGGAACGACCTTAAACTCTGCTTGAAGTCAGCCTCGATTGCAATTGAACTGTGCGGTCATTTATCATTATTCTCACCTGACGCTCGCCAATTTGCACGCTCTGCGCCTTGTCCTTCAGGGCGCTCTGTATGGGCTGTATGAGCATCGATATGGATGACAGAGTTGCCTCCTGCAGTCTATTGAACTCATCGAAACAGCCCCAGGCGCCGCAGCGGGCCAGGCCAGTTAGGATTAGGCTCATCGATTCGGTGTCGACGTTCTGCAAACACGGCACAAAGAGACATTATGACAAATCGATGCATTCAGGACCATCTCTCACCTCATCACAATTGAAGACCAGAACAAGGCGCCCGAGCATGCCGCCCAGGGCCTTAACGCACTCCGTCTTCCCGGTGCCCGCCGGCCCGAACGGATTACCGCCGAGGCCCATGTGCATGGCCTGTGTGAGTGTTAGATAGCATTTGTGTGTCAGCCGGGTGTGCACCAGCTTATTGGCATGCCCGAGGAACTCGTAAGCGTATTCAAATTCAGCATAAACCATGCGCACCCACACCTGCCGGACGTCGCCAGCCTCCTGCCTGCTGTTGCTGCTGTTGCTGCTGTTGCTGCTGCTGCCCATATAATATCGCAGCTGACTCAGCCAGTGCCAATCGGTGGGGCTCATCACATTATGCTGCTGCAGCTGCTCTACCACGCCCACATAGTGCACCAGATCTAGGAGGAGGGCGCTCAGCTTAAGCCACTGCAGGCTGCCGCCGGCCGAGCGCTGTTTCATGGCCGCCAGGTGCGACATCTCGGCCTTGAGCTGCTGCAGCAGCTTGGCCAACGCCATGCTGCCGATGGCCTTCTCCGTCTGACGCGTGAAGTGAAGGGCACGCGCCGTTGCCAGCACCTGGCTGGCGTACTGGCTCAACAGCTGGGCGCTGAGATAATCGCTGGCGCCGCTGGTGTTGTTGTAGCACTCGTAGATCTGGGCGCGCAGCGTCTCCTGCAGGACGGACACCAGCTGGTTCAGCCAGTGCTGTGGGCATAAAGGCAGGCATTAATAGATTCATTATCTGCTTTATGCACTCAGCACTCACCTCAATGTCGCCCGTCATGTCAACGGCTTGGCTCAGCCGCAGTTCGTCGCCCTCGGCGCTGTGCACGGCCAGAATTCTGTAGTGGCTGCCATTGGGCGCCTGCTCGATGCCCAGGCTGTGGCAGCCCGGAAAGAGTTTGCGTATGTGCCGCTTGATAATCTCCGCATCCTTGGACGCCTGGCCCAGCAGCTCCAGCAGATCATCGTCGCCCAGGAAATAGAAGCGAGGGAATGAATTCCGCTTGTCCTGCGGGGTTAGTATGAGGCAATATGTTGGAGGAGGATTGTATCAAAATATGACTATTACTGCTTACCGTTATATAGCTCATCAGATTCTGCTGGCAGCGCGCCAGCTGAGTTTCCAGCGCATTCACAATGGTGCTTATATTATTGATCTTGAGCAGGGACGTCACCCTCGGGTCCATTTGTATCTCGCGCATTACATAGCGAAAGTCCTTGTCGATGCGCTTGAACAGAGCGTGCTCCTGCTGCAAGGTGCCAGCGCCAAAAACGGGCTCCAAGTACACCCAACTATAAAGAGAGAGAGAGAGAGAGAGAGAGAGAGAGAGAGAGAGCGAGAAAGGAAAAGAGAGATATATAAAAACTTTCAATATAGTATTAGGAAATATCGGAACTAGTTCCACTCACCGCCTCTGAGAGTGACTCAAGCTGGTGAGCAGCACGTCGAGCGTGTTGAGGCGACTCTCCCAGAGGCCAGCCTGATCGGAGAAGCTGTCGAAGGCCGCCGAGCTCTTGGCCGATTGGAGCAGCGACTGATTGTCGCCAATCTTGTTGAGCACTTCCTGGTAGTCCTTGATCAGGCACACCGCCTGCCCGTTGGCGTCCATGCGTTCGATCAGCTTCAGCTGAGCTGTCACCGACCACTGATCGAGCTCGACGAGTGCCTGCCGGACGATCTGCTCCGAGGCTGCCTGTCGCACAATGCTGGCAATCTCGGGCGCAGCTGCCAGCAATGCATCCAGGTCCTCCAGCAGGTCCTGCAGCTGTATGGCATGCAGAGGCCTCGAGCTGGCCCTGTGCAGCAGCTGGAATATGATGGCCCAGTGGCGCTCGCTAATCGCATCCGACTGCAGCTGCTGGAGTATGGGCAGCGCGGCCTGCAGTCGCTCCACCTGCAGGCGAATGCGCTTCGAGGGCAGGTCGATGGAGGCGTGCACCGAGCCCTCCCAGCGGGCAATGAACTCGTTGAGCACGTACGGCCGTCGCCTGTAGATGGCCCACTCCTCCTGCAAAATGGGCTGCAGTTCGGACAGGAACTGATCGTAGACCTGCCACTGCAGCGATTGCCGCTCCAGCTGCGCATCGATGGCGGCGAAGGGCGCCAGGGCATCTTCCGGGAACTCCATGTTGAATTTGTGGCACTCGTCGAGCAGCTGCTGCTTCTTCGCCTGCAGCTGCTGCCAGTGGGCGCGCCGTTCCTTGAACAGCTCCAGGCTGGCCGACTCGTTCGCCTCCAGCTCGGCTATGGTGGACTCCCAGCGCAGCAGAAACTTCTCCGCCTCGTTGCGCAGATTCTGGAGCTGGGTGTGCGCCTGCGTCTTGATGATGTCCACCTGTCGCTGCAGGATGACCGCATGGTTCTCCAGCAACGGCTGCAGCTGCTCCCACTGCAGCATGATGGCGGCCAAGGCGGTGACCCGCTCCTTGCACCAGCCCGCCAGGCAGGCATCCTTGGCCCTGACCAGCTCCAGCGTGCTGCTGATCTGTGGCAGCTCGCTCATGATCTTCTCGTACTTCATGCCCGACTCACTGATGCTGCCCTCGTCCATGGGCACGTTCTGCAGGAACTGCAGCGCGTTCTGCAGAAACTCCTGCACGGCGCTCACGTCGTTCAGTATGGACGCGCGCAGGCTCGTCGCGAGCGCCTCCCAGTAGCGTCTGCTCAGGTACTCGATGTCCGTGCGCAGGGGCAGCACATTGATCACAATGCAATCGATGGACTCCTCGGTTGTCTGCAGCTTGGCCAGCTGCTGGCTGAACTGCTTGCACGCGCGGAAATTGCGATCCCAGTCGGCGGCCTCGTTCAGGTGGATGCCGCACAGCTGCTCCAGATCCACGCAGCCCAGCGCTATCCACGGCAGCCAGATGCGCTTGAAGTCCTCCAGCTTGTCGAAGAGCTCGGCGGCGCGCACATAAAGCGGCCCGAAGTGATGCCGGTTCGAGGTGACCATGGACTGAAACAAGGCGGTGCTGTGCTCGGACAGAGCACGGAAATTGCACGGACGCTCGATGAAGCGCCGCAACTGGGAGAAGAACAGCTCACGGATCTCCTCCTCCGGCGGACTGTAGCAGAGCTCGCGCTGTCGCAGCACCAGCTTGACATGTATATCCGGCAATTTGTTGTTCATGTCGAGCAGGCCGAGTATGTACTGATACTCCAGCACCTTGTACAGCTGGTGATCCCAATGCAGCTTGAAGGCATCCAGATTCGTGTAGCCCTGGCGCTCCAGCGTAGCCACCAGCTCCCGCAGGTGCCGCAACTCATCCTTCCACACTTGGTTCTGGGTAAGCAAATCAGTGCCCATGAGCTTGATGACCTGAAGGATGATGGATGATGGATGATGATCAGGAAATTCAATTGAATATAGAAATAAGTAAAACTAATAAAATAATAGTAAATCTTGCTCTGCCCACCGTTCGCTTAGCCTGCTCATGGTAGCCCACCAGCAGCGTGTTGTCTGCCGACAGCTTGGACACCGCCTCCTGCAGGGTGTTCACGTACCGCTGCACCGACGCCTCGTCCTGCCAGGCGACAGTTTCGCTCTGCACCAGCCGCTGCAGCTCCAGCGCATTCTTGAGCATGATGGGCCTCTGGCAGGGTATCATGCGATCGCCAATGGTGTTGTGGAACGTGGCGATCTGCTGCAGGCGGCGCGCGTAACACATGTACTTCGCAGCGTGCGTCGCAGCCGAGCGCAGCTCCAGCGGCACCGTGTAGCCCAGATTCTCGAACTCGCGCACATCCTGGCAGAAGGTCACCAGCTTGGGGTTGAATGTAACGCGCATCAGCTGGCGACCCTCCTTCTCGAACTTGACCACCGCCTGATCGTCGCGCAGTCTGTGTCGATGGGCAAAGGTTTATATATAGAGTATGCATAAAGAAGAAGTTCCAGTCGGTGGTGTCCGGCTAGCAGATTATCTGATAATCAGATTATCTTATCAATGATTGAATTAGGCGGGGAATAGATATAAGGGCACTCAAACGCAATTTCAAGAGTTTAGCTTTCAAAGGTTCGGAGATTGACGCGTTCCATCACGGGTTCTGCCAAGCCCCCGTTGCCAAAAACTCATTTTCAATAGGTTGGCATTTAATATTCACCTCAGCTCGCCACTTTTGACCGCCGTCGAGCATTGACCCGACCAAATTTCGAAATTGGTGCGCAGCAGAGATTCGGTTTCCTCCTTGATCTCCTGCACGGCCTTATTGACCTTGTCGAAGCCCTCGCGTCCGCTGATCAAGTGGCTGACCTTCTCGATCTCCTGTATCTGATATTGCACCACTTTGAGCCAGCGGCACTCGTTGCATATGACCGACAGGTGACCCGTGTCGGGCTCCATGTTGGTATCCGTCATGGCCTTGCGCAGATCTTGGAGCAGCAGGTGCAGCGACTGCAGGAACTGTTCGCGCTCAATGCTGAGCAGCTCGAGCACGGCTGGCCGTTGTATCAGCATCTCGTACTTGGAGAATATGAAGATGACCTGGCGCGGATTGCTGAGATGATGATGCAGCTGCGACTTCAAGGCGGCGGCCATGCGCTCGTCTATGGGCTGCAGCACCTGCTCGAAGTGCTGCAGCGCCTTCTGCCACTTGGCCTGGCCCGAGGGCGAGGTGTCGAATATATTCAGATCTGATAGGGATGGCAATTCATAGCTTTTTAGCAATAATCATATTGAGTATTCCACTCACGCTCACTCACCGCCAAAGGCTGCCTGCTCCTGGAACATCTCCTGCAGCTCGGCATCGTTCAGCAGCGTGGCGATCTGCTTGTACAGCTGCTTGATGTTGCGTATTTCGGCCAGTCGCTCCTTGAACTGTTGTCCGCGCCGCGGCACGTGTGGCTCGCCCAGCCACGGATGCTTCACGTAGTTGGGCCAGAAGAGTCGGGTCAGCGAGTCGCACAGCTGCATCCAGGCATCCACGGTGTCCATGCACTGGCTCATCAGATTGTTCACATAGTACGAGTTCAGGCTCCAGATGTCCTCGGCCTGCAGCTGCACCAGGCAGGCCTCCAGCAGGCGGTTGCCCATGATGTCAAGCAGATCGGCCATGCGCTGCTGCGGGTAGTTGTAGGGCAGGCGCCACAGCTCGTCCAGGCTGTTGTGGGCGTGGTCGAGGAACTCCTCGATGCGACTGCTCGAATTGCCGCCAGTGTCAATGGAGCTGAGCATAAATTAAATATCTCAAATTAAATCTAAATATATATTAAATATTCTCTCCTGTTTACCTAATTTTCATTTCGATATTTTCCAACACTCCTATGAACACCTGCGCCGTCTCGCGATCCAAGCGCGAACTGGACTTCTGACCCAGTTTCTGTTTCCAATATTTGATTTCGTCCTTTATGCTGCTTATGCCTGTAATTGTATTTTATATCTGAGTTGATTTGTTCGATATTCATGGAGAGCCAAAGCCCGCCCGCTCACCGCTCTGAGGTAAACCCAAGGTGGAGCCTAGCGAAACGTGCAAATTCTCCAGCAGTCCACTTAGCTCTGGACTGTACTCGTTGCGCTTCAAAAGAAAATGGCAAATAGTTAAATAAAAAACGAGTAGTGAATATATATGTATATGTATATGTATATATATAGGAATATATATTGAGCAACAAACAAATTGCATTCGTTGCCAAGCAAATATAATTGACAAAATGAAATTGCAAAAAGAATTGAATTATGTGCAAATGCGATTAAAATGCTGCTTGCAGCATGCCTGACGACGGACGGAGGGACCAAGGAGGAGAATCTGAGCAAACAGCAAAATAATTTAAGCCCAATGGGAATTAACGTATAAACTACATACGACTACAAATGCTACTGCGAATGCGAATCAGCTACAGTGAAACAGTAGTAGAGCAAACATATTTCCTTAAGGGATGACATGAACAAAAAAAAAAATACAAAAATTATAAGTATTAATAGTAGTAGTAGTCAAATTGAAATACTGAAGAATAACTAGGCTAAAATATATACCCTTGAATATATGACCTAGAATTTAGATATGCCCTAAACTTTATACCATAATAGATACACATACAAAATGAATGTTTCTGAATATATACTACATTACGACAATATGAATTGTGTGTAGCCTTAAATCTCTAAATAAATATACTATACTGAAGAAGTGCCATCCACAGGACCTCCCTGCGAGGTTCCTATAAAAATGTATCAAGTCAAATTGAATGTGATTTACGTAAAAATTGTTATTGTTTCTTGATGTTTTTGTTAATTGTTATATTGTTATTGTTATAAAATTGTGTAGTGTGTACTGTAAATAATTGTGTCTTTATGTTCAACTTGTTATGCTGCCAATTAGGTAGTAAAAAGCCTGTTTAAATAATATAAAAATAAAAAAAATAAAAAAAAAATTGATATCTAGACTAAAATATATATCGTACAATTGAGATACTAAAACATATACTCAAGTATATGACGCATAGAATATATATTAATATAAAATCTTTAGAATATATAAGCCGAAGTATTGTCATAGCAAATATATGTATGTACCAAAGAATATATAGAGACTAGAATATCTATTTCATATACCCTCGAATAAATGCTTTAAAATGACATATACTTGAATACTTATCTAAAGATCTACCCTACAATATTCACCAGCGACTATCTATAAAATTGACAGAGAGAACGACATGAAGGGTCAGTTCTCATTATAGACTCAGCTCTCAGTACTCATCAAGCAACTGCATGCTCATTGCAGTCGAAGACTTCTCTTCATCCTTTACTCTTGCTACTCTACTCTCTCTTCTTAAGAAGCCTGTACATTGCTCGAGTGTTCACTGTATCTGTATGTAGTTGTTGCACATGGAACTTACTCGCGCCGTTGCATGTGGCGAAAAGACACGTGAAACGGAATTGTAAATGGATTTAACCAGGCCACCCTCCAGTGTTAATATGCCCAACGGTGGCTCGACTTGGCCACTGCCGGCGCTGGCAGCGCCTTGGCCCACCTGCGGCACCTTGTAGAAAAGTAAACAGACTTCGTCGTTGGGTATGCGATGTTGAAATTTGATTTTGCCATCGGATTTATTATGCACGGCCGAGATAACCGTGTGCTCCTCTTGCTCTAGAAACTCCAATATAGTCGCTGTTTGTTCATCCAATTCCGTGCCTGGAATGCGCGCAGCAAAATACTCAACTGACGATGGAAAAATAGTAGAGAAAAAAAAAAGAGAAGCACTATATAAACTGAATGTGAATGTGGAAATTTTTATGGGCTCCTATGCGGGAACTTGAAAGCTCGCTGTAAATATTTGTCTTTGACTTGAACTAGTTGTGGTCCTGTTACCCGATGTATTTATTATGAATTTTGTGCGCTGACTCATCGTGCTTATCGAAAATATGTTTGGTATAACTGAATTTAAGTTCTTCACTCGCTGCACTTTCAATTTTCACTGACTCTCTTTCACTTTTCCTGCTAACGAACTTAATTTGTTGTTCCCACCCGTTGGCCCGGGCAACCGCAATGCCGTTGCCAGGCATCGCAAAGTTGAGGATTTTCCATTTCTATGCATGTTTTTATCTTACTTTGTTTGTTTATTTGTTTTTGCACCTGTTGTTCGTTTCGTTGGTATTTTTTTTTTTTTTTTTTTTTTTTTTTGTTGGTCGACACGTGCTGCTCCGTGGGGTAGTTAAATGTTGGGGGACATTACCTCAATCCTAGTTACAGTGGCTGCTAATGAAACTGAGCGTTCGCCTCTCAGAAGAAGGCCAGCACTAAAAATGCCTCAGCAGGTTTATATCATTTGAATGTCCATTAATTGAATTACAGAAGCGTGCTCAACCTGGAGCCAAGCAGATTCCTGCCAGCAGCAGGACAGCAGCCAAGTCACGACACGGCACGATATCAACCGACTTTATGGCCATGTCAAAGCCGTAACGACCAGCTGCAACAGCTCAATATTGACAGGCACTGTAACAGCCATTTCACGATTCCCATCGTCATGGAGTGTGCAGAGCTCTCTAGGGAGTTGGCTAGATTTAGCAGCGAGCAAAATATGTTCTCTAGCTAGAAGAGTAGCTAGAAAAGTATTTATTGCTTGTTTTTTATTTCCTTTAAAACTTTACTGTTAATGTTAAAGAAAATAGAATGCTGAAAACAATTTTTATATATATATTTATTTATTATTTATTTTATTATCATATTTGAAAAAAAAAAAAAATACGTAATGTATTATAACTTATGTAATTAATTAATATTTAAGGTTCTTATAAATTGTCTCAAATTCAAATTATGAAATTTAATTAAATATTTTTGTGGCCAGGGTATACTGCAGTCAAGCAGCCTCTCCTACTGATAAGTCTTTCTCCTTTTAAAGAAATATAGTTCATTATATTTTAAAGGTTTCCAGCTAATGAGAAATAATTATAATTATCATGCCATTCTTAACGATTTACTCATCAAAAAAGAAGAAACTCTAATTAAATCGCCAACATAAGAAAATATTTATGCCAAACTATAAATTTTCAATTTAAGCTTAAGTTAATATTGACTTGAGCCTGTGTAGCTCAGCTCCTTACTGCTATATATGCCTCTAAAAATACATACCTATTCACATTTGAGGCACTGAATTGCATGCGCACCTCGCATAGCTGATTATAATCAAATTTTTGGTCTGGGGATTTGCGGTGAGCTCAAAAGTTAGAGTTGTGTGTCTGTGTGTGTTGTGTGTGGGCGTGGGTATGGGTGTGTGCAAACTAAGTTACGCCAACTAACTAGTAACTCTATAGATTACGCACTGGCGCAACAGTGAGCCCCTAAAGGCAACTATCACCAAATGCAAAAAGCGAATATAACAGCGAAAAAAAAGAGACACTGAAAGAGAGATAAGGAGAGGGAGAGAGAGGGAGAGAGAGAGAGGTGGAAGGAGAGTTCCTGCAGTCTCCCCATCCACTTGCCATAGCTAGTCCCATTGCCATATTCTAGGCGCTAAGCCCATCATCCATCTGGCGCTTAGCCGCGCTGCGCATCTGTTTGCAGCAAATAGCGTCAAAAATAGTTTTGCAGCTTTTGCTCTCGCCAGCTCCGTTTGCTCAGCGTGGCAACGTTTTATTGGCACAAACAAATAGCTAACGAGTGAGGCTGGCTTTTTTAACTGCTACTATTTTGCTGCTTTGTATTATTTTAGTTGGGATACCCACTATTTAAATGGCTTTGCCACCGTTGGCCATTTAACTAAATTAACAGTTACTTTGTTAAGCTGCTTTTGCTCTATTTTTTCTTTTTTAACTGCCAATAGCCTTGGTCAACAAAATGCCATTATTTGTATAACACTTGCTGCCAAAAATGCAAAAAAAAAAAAGAAGAGAGGAAATATATAGTTAAATGGAAAAATAAAATAAGTTGGCTTTCATCTACAAAGCAGTCAAATCCTTTTGCATTTTTATTGACACACATCAGCGTAAAAGGCAAAGCGAAAATGTTTCCAAATTCATTTTCGACTGAAATTCGACTTTGAAAAAAGTATATGTAAAAATTGATTTAAGCAATATGGAATTTAAATCTAGTTTAAATCCTAATTTATTAATTATTTCATTATTTATTATTAATTCATTTATAATTATAAAAATTAAAGAAAATTTAAAATATGTCTTATATTTATATAAATAGTCTTTAAATATTTTTTGAGCACTATATTTTACATATTTCAATATTTCATTAAAATCAGTTGTTTTTTGTTTTTTCTTCTTTAATTTATTTTTATTTTTTCCCCGTTAAAATTCTTCATCTAAAAAATGTACAAAAGTAAACCTAAAAATATTTTCGAGACATCCTTGACAAACACAAATGCCAGATGGCAAACTGCAAACTGCAAAACGAAAAAAAAATAATAATACTAAAAACTGTATAAAAAACTAAATTTGTTCGAATGCAACTATGCATAGCTATGGAAGCTTTGAAATTGACACATTCTGATGGATGTGTCTGTTCTGTGGCATTTTCAGTCAATGTGCTTGTGTGAGTGAGTGTGTGTGTGTGTGTGGGAAGTTGCTTTTTGTGTAACACTGTTGATGTGTGAGCGCACAAATTTAATAAAAATTGTGGAACCCGCACGTCATTCATTGCCAGCGGCTCATTTGAGCCTTGATTTAAATCTGAATCTGATGGCATAAATATAGCAATTTGGAATCTAATGCCGTATGTAAACGCTTTG